TGTGGACGAAAGGTGCAAACACATAGAAAAATCTGCGTTTTCAAAAATACCCGGGTACGTGTGGACGTAGTATAACATGAAATGCAGATTTCTAACCCACAGCAAGTGGGTGTCATATGCAAACCCTGCCCGAACTACCCAGGCAACTCCATCAGCCCCAACAACAGTAAAAATGAGCCTGAGCAGGACCATTAACTGCAGGTTGCTGCATTTGAGAAATGAAAAATAATAATAAAAATTTAAAGATAATGTGTGAAAAAGTCTTTCTAGTCTTCAGACACAACCAATGATGCTTCCACTGACCAACATGCAGTGTTATTTTTAAGTGTTTGGGATGAAATTCACTTCCTGAAGGACTTACATCATTTGGAATGGTCATCTCATGGGAACTGGTTTGAGCAGAAGCGTCCATCCCTGACAAAGAAAACATGAAAGTGCTTTAAACGAACCATAAAGAGAAGGTACTTAAGATACATAAGGTATAAAGCAGGTAAAATTGTAATTATGATCATTTTTAAGTCACCAAAATCAATTTGAAATGAACTGATTAGCTAATTATACAATGTTACTGACACAGAACTCACACTGACTCAAGATCGAAACAATTTGTTAAAAAAGGCAAAAAATTAAGATGTTTGATTAGAAAATAACAAAAGACCACACGGGGCTTTCCACACGTCAGCTGCTTCTCTGCAAACATGTGAGAAATGCCCTCAGTGTGTCATCACAGCCACCAGCAGCTGTCATTACATCTAGTTTAGCAGTACAGGATGTGCGAACGTGTGTTTTGTCACGTTCTGCGTTTGGTCTGTAAACCTGGGAATTTTAAAGACCGAGCAGTTAAAATGTTGCATTCAAAGCCCGTGGGCGTTGCTGCGCTGCATACCAGTGAATCCCTGGTTGCTCGGTGCGATGGGGAACGGGCTCTGCTGCATAGCCAGCTGGTGAAGCTTGGTGAGCTGTGGAGAGATAGCAGCAGAGGAAGACTGTGAGAGTGAGAGAGAAGGCAGGGAGAGAGACGGAGGAAATGGAAAACACAGGAAGAGGAGGGGGGGGGGAAACAGAACGAGAATCACAATCAGTATAGACAGATACACAAAGATTACAAGGAGATTTCACACAAATCGCTTAATTTTGTGATGCGAGGACCTCTAATCCTTCATAAGTTTACTACATAGCTCACTGGTGTCTGACGATGTGAATTATGGCTT